AGGGATCTCTTTGATGGAGTTGAGAGATGACCTACCCAATAGGATGTTGTAGACGGATGGAGCATCTACTACCAGGAACCGAGCAGTGGTCTTAGCCTGGTAGGGCTGTTCCCCGATAGTGAGGATGAGTTGGATGGACCTAATTGGCAGGACCTTTTCGCCCGAGAAACCTAGTAGGTGGGATTTCACGGGTTTGAGGTTCAACCTTTCTATGCCCAGTTGGTCGAAAGCCAACAAGAAAATGATATCAACGGAGCTTCCGTTGTCGACGAGTACTCGATGCACAGTTTTGTTGGCGACGATCGCCTTTATGACCAGGGGGTCGTCATGTGGCTGCTGGCATTCTCTGAGTTCCACGTCCAAATAGGTGATCTCCATTTCTCGGCTAGGCACCTTTCGTACGGCATGAATTTCAAGGTGATCTTCTGATCGTGCCTTCCGAGCATGTGCTCTACGTGCTGAGCTGGATTCTCCTCCTCCGGCGAACCCGCCAGAGATTACGCGAATTTTGTCAAGGGCTTGTTGGTGTTGCTGAGGGGGTTATGGGGCAATTCTGTCTTCTCGACCTTGATTATTCCGGGCTCTTCCATCTGCCGCCAAGTAGTGACGCAAGTGTCCCCTTTGGATCAGATATTATATCTCTTTCTTGAGTTGTTTACAGTCGTTTGTCTCATGGCCGGTGTCTTTATGGTACTCACAGTACTTAGTGGCATCCCGCCTGCTGGGGTCAGATTTCATTTGCAGTGGCCATCGGATGAATCTCTCATTTTGGACCTCGTGGAGGACCTGAGCGATCGAGGTGACAAGGGGTGGAAGTCGAGCTAGAGCATACCGCGGCTGCAGCTCCTGCGGAGGAGGTCCTAGCTGATCTCGAACATTTCCTCTCCTCTTAGGGGAAGGCTCTCTTCCTCTTCTCTGAGAACGGTCTCTTCTTGGGGACCGGTCGCGCATCTTCTCTCTTTTAGGGCTATGGTCTCGCTTCTTCTTGTCCCTTTCCGGCATTGCCGAACTTCCTTTCAGTGAAGAGCTTCTTCGCCGTTGATGTACTTTTCAGCCTTTACTAACACCTCGGCCATAGTAGCTTGAGGGTTCTTAGAAATGGAGAAGAGAATGTCCTTGGATTATACTTCGAGCCTTGACATGAAGGTGGTTAATGCGAATTTATCGTCCACGTTTTCCACCTTCAGGCATTCCTAGTTAAAGCTTTGCACGTAACTTCTGAGGGACTCGTTTGGTCCCTGCTCAACAGGTGGTAGGACGACTTTTCTGTACGTCCTCGCTCCAACGAAATGTGAGACGAACTGTATTGACAATTCCCTGAAGGAGGAGATTGACGTCGATTGTAACCTATTGAACCAAGCTATGGCCGAACCCTTAAGGGTGATGGCAAAAGCTCGACAACGAATCGGGTCGGGATACCCCTGGAGTTCCATCTGATTCTTGTAGGAGTTTAAGTGGTCAACTGGGTCTTTGGTCCCGTCAAACGCTTCTATCGACGGCATCCGAAACTTCTGTGGGAGAGGGAAATGGAGGACCTCAGGTATAAATGACGACTCGATTTGCTGGACTAAGGAATCCATGGTGTCGGGGGCCTTTCCTCTAACCACTTCTTTTATGTTGCCCAACTCTCGCTAGAGTTCACGGATTCTCTGCTCCCATATACGATCATCGATTTCGAATGGGGGATGAGGTCTGTCCTGTTGGAAGGCAGCTGTGGTCCGGCTATGGGCCTCGTCCTTATTGTGTCTTTCAGGATGTCTCCTTCGATGCTTTTCTCTGGAGTGGCTGTGCTCATGGAGCTCCGTGACCCCATTTGGTGGAGCCTGGTGTCCTCGAAGGGGAGCGTTGTGACCTGCTGGCGGTGGAGGGGGCTTTTATTGAGCTGGTGGGAATGGAGGGAGCTGATAAGTCCGTATCCATTACAACAGTTCCTAGTTCTGTTTCATAAGTTGCATTGTGGTTCGGTGGAAAGTATCCATCCCCTCAAGAGGGGGAAGGTTCATCGCTGGTGAGTCCGTATCCATTCCAACAATTCCTAGTTCTGTCTCATAAGTTGCATCGTGGTTCGGTGGAAAGTATCCATCCCCTCAAGAGGGGGAAGGTTCTGGTGGGCTTGAGGGTTGGCAGGAGCTTTACTTATATTCCAAGTTTAAACCATCAAATAGAAACTAGATAAGGAAACGATGAAAATCGTTCCCATAGACGAGGCCAACTGATGGTGGCCAAAATTTGTGGTCCAAGCCCAACTAAGGTTGGATGGTGTTATGAAAATGGTTTTGCAGATGATGGGTTAAACTTTTATGGACAGTTAGATAAAGAATATAAGTGGTTCACCTTAGTCGAAGGACTAAGGCTACATCCACTATCAACGGAGTCTCTTGCTTGCTGGGATTGTATATTCATCGACCGGCAAAATGCCTCTAGTTACTTGGGACTCGGGGTCCACTTACAAAGAATGATTATCTAGGTATTCACTCTTAGCTTTCTACGCTCTTTTGCTCTCTAATGTTCCCTGATCTTTTTTTTGGGGGAGAGATGGAGTCCTCTTTTTATCGTTATCCACTTATACCAGCTTCTCCTAGGGCCTCCAACTGTCCTTTTTTCTGACCCCCTCCTGTTTCTTCTGCCACCACGATCACTATTCATCCGGCGTCCCTGTTCACCTGGCGCTGTCGTTGTCATAATCTCTGGCGGCTTGGTACTCTACCTTCTCTGAGATTGTCGCAGGTGTCAGGGGTGGTCCCCCTGGACGCGTGGTTCCTTTTGCTCATCCAGAAATACCTTGGATTGGGCTTTTACTCTCCAAATCGCTTTATGGTTTGGGCTAGGCCTGGACTACTGGGCTATAGGTTTTTTGCCAATGCCAGGTCCCACTTTTCTACTCCGGACCTCTTGGGCTGGTCAGGTTTCTAGGCCATCAAGGGCTTGGTCGTAAATTTCATCCGTATCAATAACAAAATAAAGTAAAATAATAAAATTTTAGACGTGTTATATTTTTATTAGAAAAAAAATACTAAAAAATTATAGTTAGAGCCAACTTATATATAAGGGGAGGTTAATTGCACTAAAGGTCCCCAAAGTATGAGGTTTATCTCATTTTGGTCCCTAATGTTTCAATTTCATTATTTTGGTCATTGAAGTATTAAGTATGTTTATATATGGTCTTTCAAACAAACAGCGTCCAGATTGCTAACAATTTTTTATCATAAACTTATCATGTAATACCTAATATGAATAAAAAATAATTTTGATATATCTTAAACAAAATTTGGTTAGCTCTTGACAAATAAATATGTAATATGGGTAACTTTTGACAAAAAATTGAATAGCTTATGATCAAAATTGTGTAATTTAAATAGTTATTTAACCAAAATTTGAGTTTAAATTTATTCAAGAGTTATCCAAATTATTTTTTTGTCTATATTTAAGTATCACGTGACAAATTTATGATAAAAAATTGTTATCAATCTAGATATTGCCTATTTGAGGGACCATATATAAATATATTCATTATTTTAAGGACCAAAATAATATAATTAAAATATTAGAGACTAAAATGAAACAAATTTCATATTTTAGAGAGCTCCGGTGTAATTAATCCATAGGGCTGGCCCTAGGGCTAGGCTTAGTTGGCCACCTAGGGCCCCTAATTTTTGCTAAATTTTGGGGTCCCATGTTAAGAGTTTTAGTTATGGGTACATGTATTTTGGATTGGCTGATTTGAGAGGACCCAAATTTTATTGATAGATCAATTAATATTTCAACAATTTACCTAGAAAATTGCTCCACTTGTCAGCTATAGTGGACTGCTAGACTTTTGAAACAAGAAAGGTAGATGACTAAATCTCTCTCTCTCTCTCATCTGTGAAGGAATTAATCAAATCTCTCTACATCACTCCGCATCTCTTGCACAAATTTATCATCTGCTATCATTACGGGATTGACTCACAAACCACAGTGAAATGTCACTCCTTCATGCCCTTTTTCTCTCTGTGTGTGAAGTGTGAAGTCTGAATTTGAACAAAGAAAGAACATCAAAACTCTCTATTCTCTAATCTCTTATAGTTCAAAAATCCATCAATTAAGTGATAGTGATCAAGATTCAAGGATCGGAATTTTTTGGGCTCAATCTACTATATTCAATTGTTTTCTCATTTTTTATTAGAAATTTTATGAAAAATTTTAAAAGTTTGGTGTGCTTAGAATTTTTAATATGTTGATTTCATATTTTTGATATTATTGTTAATTTAGAATGTCTCCTTTTTTGACAGAAACTTAAATACTTAATCTTAATAGTTGATTATTGAAATTCTGACTTATATAAAACGATTAGATTTTTTTCGAATTACATGTATAGTTTTTAGAATATTGTCAACAATATCGGTAAAAATTGTTTCAACAAAGAGAAATTTTTTAAAACTTAAATTAATAAAATCTTATTTTCGATCAACTATGTCACAAAAAAGATTAAATTAATTAACTATATTATTTGTTGCTATTAACAAAACTTGAATATAAAATTTTAATCAATATTTTTATATCTCAAAAAGCTAAAAAAATAAATTTTAAATAAATAAATTTTAATAATTATTGTCTATTAATAGGACTCCATTTCATANTGCTAGGGGGCACCATTGACCAACTTGATTCATTTGTGTTAGAACTTGGAATACAACAAAATGATCGACAGCATCAAATTTTTACTTTTTACTTTTATTTTGTCTATGTCTGAAGGTTGTTAGGGGGAGGGGGTTTAGCTTTTTTTGGAGCTGCTTTATTGCAGAGCAAGATTTCATGAGCAAGAAATTATGGNAATTTGTTGACCGCCCCTATTAATCCAAAAAAAAAAACTTGTATGATCCAATTTCGTACATTTCCATTGGTGTGTATGAGAAGTACCAGAAGTCCGAACGACGTCGTATCCTGCGGAGCAGATCTATTGAAACTCATCGCTTTTTGGTCTTCACCTTCTTCTTCTCTAGGTAGTTTCTTCGTCTTCCCCTTCTCTCTTTCTCTCTCTCTCACGCACAATCATACACATACTCATTCCAGATAGCAATCGCCATGGACGACATCCCAATACAGAAGATCCAAATATCAGGTCCCACTCTCGCCTCTCTCCTCCAACGCTTCTCCTCTTCTCCGGGCGACCTCCAAGGTCTCCTCTTCGGACACATCACCCACTCCACTTCCTCCACTCTCTCCGACGACACCACCACCACCACTCCCTCCACCTCCACCAACCCCTCATCCACCCTCATTGCCACCATCACCTCTTTCATCTCCACCCCGTCATCCTCCTCCTTCTTCTTCCCTTCCGGCAACCTTAACCCCTCTCTTCATGACCTCTCATCCACCCTCATCGGCTGGTTTTCCGGCCGCCGAAGAACCCCTCTCCGCCTCTCCCTCCGCGAGTCCTCCATCACATCTTCTCTCTCTTCCAACATACAATTCTCCTTCCCAGTCCAAAACTCCTCACAAACCCTCACTCTCTCTCCTTGTCTCTTCCTCCTCTTAACGACACCGTTTCAAGACCAAGTAATCCACACACATGAATACAAAGCCTTCCAATTTCGCATTTCTACCGATTCTTTCGAACCCAAAACCCTAGATGTAGTGAATATTGGACCGGCTTTTGGTGGGCATTACGGTAATTTTTCCCCCAACTCTCCGTTCCCTATGATGGCTTGTGAAGTGAGGGGGTTGAATGCAATGGTGGAGGATGGTAGGGGTGAGAATGATGAGAATTTGAGGAGAATGAAGAGCTTTTCAAAGGACCAGAAGGAATTGGATTTGGTTGCTGAGGGGTTTGAGATTGGGAGGTTGAGTCAGTTGATGGGGCCGGAGGCGTCGAATTATATGGCCGAATTGGAGGATTTGTACAATAAAATGCTTGCCAAGCTAGATGGGTTGGCAAGGTTGGTGGAGAAAAGTTCAGCTAGGGTTGTTGAGCAGGTAAGGATGTTGTATCATGCAATGAAATTCAAGTAGATTTTTGGGGTATTTTGCTGGTGAATTTAGATGTGTTTATACATTTGGGAGTGTTTATGATGTGGTTTGGAATTTGACAGGAAAATCACAACATGAAACTAAGATGCAAAGTTGCAGGTTTGGAATGATTGGTTAATGTTTAGTGGTGTTCTCTTGGTTACTAAAGGTAAAGTTATTGTCATTTTGTACAATGCATGTTGTAGTGAACTTGTTAGATGGTAAGATAAGTATATTTATCTGGCATTTTTTAACAACATTAGTTATTGATTGAGTTTTATTACTTTGAGTTGTACATGGCCTGCTTTTTATAGAATATTATTGCTTTCTTCGAGTAAAGAAATAATTTTTATGTGGATTTTGTGCTTCTGTTTATAAGATCAACCTCAGTTTGCTCTATTCTGATGTGCTAATGGCTAATCAAGTCGATTTAAGTTTGATACTGGCATGACTTGAATTAGAAATGATGGTCATAAATAAAATGAGAAGGAATGTGATTGTAGAAGAAAAGAATATCCTTGCCTGACGATGGATATACAGACCTTTTATGGAACTAAGGCTTTGATGAAGCGTTTAAGGATTTCTTTTGTCTAAGCTAGACGGTTGTTCACTTGCACAAAAATTTGTCCATTTGCATTCCTTGATTTGAACTTGGTTATATTTTACTGGAGAGACTGCAAGTTTTGAAATGTAAAGCAATTGAGAAAGAGAAATACTGAAACTTTGTTGTTCTTGTGCTTGCCATTTTTTCTATATGCATTCGTCTTGGAATAGCAAGCAGGAAAATCATTTAGCCTTTATTGGTGGTGAACTAGATTTTGAATTGAATCTATTTTTTTCTTCCACAGTAGACCACTTCAGTTTTTTTTTCTTCTGAAGATGCAACCCTTTACCTTCCTGTAGATTTCTGGTAACTGAGAAGTGCCTGATGAAGAAGTGCAGCTTATTGTGACGCTGCTGTTGTCCCGTTTTGCATGGTTGCAACTTTTGGTGGTCTTTAAGACAAAGATGGCTTAAATCAGCATCCATTTGAATGCACCTCCTCTGTTATTTGTATCAATTACATTGTACTTGTTGGCCCTGTCCTGTCTCTGTTCACACCCGCCAACACGTTTAGTTATGATTCTTCTTGACTTGAGGCTTCTATTGGAAATGAAGGAGAAGAATTGATGGAATCAAAGTTTCATGATTTTGGATATATGGTCTCTACCTTGCGCATGTACTATTCTATTTCTTTTGTTTTCCTTCTTTGTTCTTTTTTTTTTTTTTAATCTTTACTTGTGCTAAATGTCAGGGATGAGGGATGCCCTGAAGTTTAAATAAGCCTTAGTTCGTTGATTTGTAAATCTCAGACCAGGTCAGAGAGAGGCCTGGCCTGTAAGCTGGCCAGCTTAAAAACCCATTACTTAACCAAAAAAAGGCCAGATTCGGTGGTTCCCTGTCATCAAGGCCATGTTGGGGTTCTACTGGACTGATTATCATTAGCCATAGCAACTGATCAGCAAATGCAAGTTTTCTTTTATCTAGTAAAGCAACTCATCCTCAATTACATCCTTCGACAGTAGTAAGTTCCACAAATAATTCAAAAGCAGTTAAAGTTTGCTGAACTAGATAATTCCAACGTTAATAAATGGAATGTTTCATCGCAGAAACCAAGGTTAGTTTTTTGTTTTACAGCAATGGAGGAGGATCCGAATTCGGAATTTTCAAGTTGTCACAAGAGGCACTTAATGGAAACCACCAAGTAGGGTGTTTTAGTGGGGGTATCGGCTTTACTCATCACTTTGAGGTTGGGAGTTCGAGTCTTGGAGTCTATATTGGGATTTGGTAGTTGGTCGTTATGCTAGTCTAGTTAGATCCGAGAGATGTTTCAGGCGCGGTCAAGGGTCTTATGATCTCACTAGTAAAAACTTATCGGTGGTCGCTGGATGTTCTTTCTTGTTCCCACCTCTTTCATTAATTAGCAAAAAAAAAAAATGGAATCCCAGATCGAGATAAAATCCAACTTCAAGAAAATTTGTGGGAAAGTCCCATAAGAGGAGGTGCAATGCTTTACAGAGCATTCAGGTGCCACCTATTTTTTTTTTTTGGCTACAAAATGTTCAAACTTAGGTTTCCTATTCACTTGAACTCAACAACCGGTTACCGTGACAGTGGCTACTCACCGTTACTCGGTACACAAATGCTTCAAGCCTTCAAACTCTGAAAACAAATCCGCTTCCGATCATTAAGTAATTAATAAATTAGAGTTGACTACTTTTTTTGCATGAACAACAAATGATGAGACCAACTAACTCAAATAGATCAATCAAATCCCTGTCAAACATTGTTCCATTTTGGCAACTATGATCCGTTTAAGACTATTTATTAGAGTATTAATAAGACGGTTTGAGTAATCTTGAAGAGGGTTGGTCTTAGTTATAGATTTATCAATTCACAAGTCATGTGTTGAGTCCTATATGACCCGATTGATAAAAGAGATCAGATCAATGTCAATATATATATATATATATATATATGATGTAATTAACTAAATGGTCCAAATCAAGATTGACTAAACAAATAATAAAAATTTAAAATAATTCAACCCAACACAACACAACATAATTCAACTGAGACCCACATCAGATGCAGCCCAGAGGATAGTTAAATTATAATGGGGTCCTCCGTTTTGAAGCTTGGGATTTATGGGTAAAATATCTGTACATCGCATGGCTGAATCCTCAACGAGGAAACTTGGTTAGTTACCTGAAAAGGGTCAAAAAACACATGTATAGTAATGCAAGAAGATGACGATAATAGTTCTAAAATGATCCATTACAACCATTTCATATTCTTATAAATTAAACTCGTCTTCGATCGTATGAGAACCCCAAATGTTTTAAAAAGAATCTGTATGCATTTCTTACTCGGGACATCATTTACCGACCTAATCCAACATAATCATCGGATAAATTATGAGTTTTAATGTTCATTAGAATCCACTTTCAATCTAATATTTGTATTAAATTAGGCCCCAAATTATGTTCAATTAACATTTTTCTATGAGAAACATTACTCTACCCAAAAAATGAAAGGGAAAGTTTTTTCCAAAATATGGATAAGTTAACTTCAAAATAAGGGTGTTAATCGAGTTAAATTTTGTGAGTTTGAACCTTAGTCTGTCGATCTCTTTTTTTAAACAACTTGTTTAAAAAATGTGTCGAGTCTGAGCTTGAACCGAACCTAAGCTCAGGCCGAATCCTAGTAACTTGACTATTTTACATATAAAAAAGTCAAATTTTTAAACGAGGTTAAAAAATTATTTAAGTTCAATTCGTTTATAACACGAATCGAGCTTTAACCGAGTCCTATCCAAGTTGAGTCCAAGTAACTTGTCTCGATTAACACCCTATTCCAAAGCTATATATATATATATATATATATATATATATATATGCATCTCAAAAGTTGATAACTTCTACACAAAACATGTTAAAAACAATCAAAGATTAAATCACAACTACACAATGAGACGTTGGAGAGAGAGAGAGTATGAAGAACCCATGAAACTCAGGATGGATAGCACTATAGATAGACCCTTGAAGACCATCCATCCATGGCGCTATCCCTCCTGAGCTTTACAGGTGCTTCCATACTTATATATATATCAATGATAAAAGCCCACGAAAGGTATCAAAGCAAAGTGAATTGTGGCAAGTGCTAAAAGAGAGATAGATGCCTATTTATAGCAGGAAGGACGTGCGAAAAAGGCAGACAAATGTCACCTCTCTCTCCCTCTCCTGACGCCATGAGAAGGATTGACCAAGTCCTGTAATATGTCAGTTGCGATGGTCCATCACGTTGATTGTGTGGGGGCGACAAATTTTCTCCATTATTATATTAAGAAATGTATTATGCTTCTTAATCTTCCTGCCGACTACGTTCCCTTACGTTCTTCAAAATTGAAATACGGTATGCTGCATGGTTCAAGGCTGCATAGTGATTGCCGATTTTTAAGACTTGGAAGACTTTGCGAACCATCATCAGTGGTGTTAGAGAACATTATCAGGCGATATGGTCTGAAAGAAGAAGTTGTACATATCGAGAGATTCACGCTACATCGAAATAATATTAATTAATTCAGTGAAGACTTTTCGAAAGACTCGATTTTTAAGTCGTGGAAGGACACGACTTTCCCAAGTTCCAACATTGTTTATTAGTAGAACAATATCGAATAATCTAACAGGGTGGTCTTGTTTTTTCGTTTTCTGCCTACAAATGGCTATACCCTTTCTTTTCTTTTCGATATTGATAGAATCACGAGTTTTTTGACTGCGTTTATTCTTTCTCTTAAAAACGAATTTAACTAAGTTGATACAATGATCAATTATCGAATTTTAATATAAATTCCAAAATTTAACCTTCCAATCAGATAATGAGAAGTTGGGTCGGTACCCGTTAAACCTCCTCAGTCGGTGGTAGAAATGGCTATACCCTTCTTCAGTATTCAAACTATCTTTTTGCAGCAGACTATTACCGTATATTTTTATTCGTTTTCTTTATGATTACTTCTCTTTTTTCAATAATTTTCAGCTTATTGATGATTACAATCGTAGATTCTATTGCACAAACTGACCACTTAAAATTTAGAATCAACGTTCCAATCAGGGGCAGAGCGAGGATGGGGGCAAAGAAGGCTGTTGCCCCACTGTAATTCCACAAGTTTTTGGGGTCTATTTATAAATTTAGAAAAACTTGCACCCACCAAAAAATTTATAAAAAATTGGGGAATAGTTTCGAATTCTAAAAACTAAATTAGAATCTTTCATACATTAAAAAACTTAGGTTTGTGAATTGATGAAATTTTAACTTGGATTTGATTCGATTATGAATTTTGATTAGTCAGAAAGAATAGATATTTTTGACCGAATATTTGAGTCTGAATTAGTTATATAATATTTCACAAATTTATATTTGGATATACTAAAATTTAATTTGATTGTGATTTGATCCAATTTATATATACACATAGATAGGTATACAAGGAAATTGAGTGTTATTTGATGAAATTAAATCTAAATTAAGATGTAATAAAATCCAATTTGAGTTGACTCACGGATTTGATCCGATTTTTAATATTTAACTTATACGTATATAGACTAGAAAAAAAAAGTCATTACATAATTGGATTGAATTCAAAAAAGAGTTTTCAAATTAAATTTGGATTACGATTTTCAAATCGAATTTGCATCACTTGAAACTCGATCCAAATCCGATTAATAAAGGCCAACTCACCATTTGTTTGCAAAGGGCAACCAATTTTGATGATTATTGTTCGTTCGTTCTCTTTAATCCAATGATTACCGCCACTTTAAAGAAATTTTGACTCCGTCCCAGAGGCAATAAAGGCACACCTCATTCTCCTTTCAATTAAACTCTCTTATCATATAATTCATCTGAAAATGTACTTAGGAATGAGATCATACAAATATCCACTTAACCGGGGAGAACTGTTGGAATAAGAAACCTTGGACGATTATTATGTCAAAAGTTCCATTCTTGAAAAAAATCAAACTTGGTTTGCTAATGATAACTAGTATATTAGGTGTGTGGTAGGCGGTGGTGGTTAGGGAAGTAAGTGGATGGAAGCGAGGGGCGGGGTGTAGTATTCATCCCCGTATTTGTTTAAAAAAATTTTGACTATCCCCTAACGGGTATAGTTTCCAACCACATTCTCGTCTGCAGGTAAATTTCTGTCCCCGCTTCCCTTGTACCTGCCCAAATCTAAACCTAAGTTCAAACCAACGTAATCTAAAATTTTTAAATAAATTTAACATTTTAAATAATCCAAGAATATTTTAAATAATTTAACATAATCTAACACAACATAATATAGCATAATATATCCCAACATTACACAAACAACAAATGTCTAAAATACTACTTGAATTTTTGTAATGGAAAAACTTTTCTGTCACGTAGTTTTACACCTGTAATTTAATAAAAAAAATAAAACATAAAAAAATTATAATAATTAGATAAAAAATATTTTGTATTTACTAATAAAATTGATTGGTTGTAATTAAAAAATTATCAATTCAATCATCTCTTAAGGGTAAGTCCATATATATATAGCAGGGGTAAGAGTAAGTCTATCCCCGTCTTCATCCCCGCACGGATTTATACAAGTATTTTCGTATACGTCCACTGTTTAATAC